TTCAAATTTTATATTTTTTACATTTTTAATAAATTTATCAAGTATTAATTAAATTTTGCCAAATAATATTATAAATGTAATTTTTTTATTGAAAATATACAATTTGATTTTACTAAAGTTCTTCTGTCACTCAAACTTTTGGACGGGAGCACACTCCACACAGTCTAAAGTTATTATCAAATCTAACAAGGATATCAAAAAATTGCACAACAATAGCTATAGCAACATAATTGCATTTATAATCAAACTACTCTCAGGTACTCTGCCCACTCGCAAAACCCTTCACCAGATATATCCCGATCAATATCCAGATGCTTGGTGCCCAAAGTGTAAACTTCGTACTGAGGACATTCACCACATCTTCAAATGCCCTGAGACCTCCACTGAAGCTGACCAAATAGTTAAAAACATCAATCAAATTCTTCACCCAAACAATAATCAAACACTAATTTCAGACATATGGCAGGTAGCCAAATTATATTGTAGCTTTACAGATAAAATCTTCTCTTTAACAGACTTTTTCAACTGGGTCGAGACAGCTAATGAAGCCATAACCCAGTTATACAACCTTATTTGGAAACCGCGCTGTTCCACAGCCAACACGTCACCATCCACCGGAATTAAATGGAACTTCGACAAACCTTTCACATTATCTCCCTCTTATAAACCATCCAACAATCATAATCCTCAAGCCGAAATCCAATCAACCATTACCTCTCCTAAAGAAATTATAATTGACCTACCTAACATAGTTGCTAATATGTTTATTCAGTGTAAATATAATTATTATAAATGCATTCAAAAACTAATATCTTTATTACCTGACACCTCTTCCCTTAATACTGAGTAGGTATTCATAGCTGCTCGGTACCTTTTGACAAGATATATTGTTTTAAATTTTCTTTTCAATATTAGTCAAATGGTTACTGTAGGCAAGCTAGCATTTAACTCATTGTACTTGCATATGAGAGATGTTGTTTCTTTCATGATGTATACCTTGACATATTCAAATCAAATAAAGAAATGATGTTTACCTACAAAAAAAAAAAAAAAAAAAACAATTTAAGCAAAAATAATTAAGTCAAATGTATCTAACGAGGATTTCAAAAGATTAAATTAAAATTCAAGCAAGAATATCAGCTTTACAAGTAATAAAAATAATAATATTATATTATACTAGTGATATATTCTAAGAATTAATGATAATAATAACTGGAATGCTGCAATACATTTCTATAATAATAGTCCATATAACCTTCTTCTGATAAGTAGTTGAAAAATATAATTGGTCTAATAAATTGAATAGATTTAAATTAGTGATAGAATTTTTTTTCTATTATATAAATCCTACATGGATATGAGCCTATCTATTTAAATATTTGTTATTAAAAATTAATTATTTAAACATTGGCTATTTTTTTAATTAAAGATATATAATATACATTTTAAGAACAACACAACTATTGCAGAAGCAAACCATTAGACAATTCTTTGAATTATGATTCAAAAGATCTAAATATTTTTGATTTACCAAAATTACCAGAACAGATTTTATATTTTTTAGAAATTGATTAACTATGAATAAAGATTGACAAGTTTTTTTTTTTTTTTATAACTCTTTTTAACTTATTGTCAATTTTTCTTATTATAAAACAGATTATAAGAAATAGTCAATTTGTATTTGTCTCAAGTAAAAATAAGTGACAAAAATCATATTATAGGAATTAAATTTGCAAATCAATAATTATTATAAAAGTTCAAAGAACATGTAACAATAATTATTTTTTACACAATATAACTTATGATAATCAAATTCTTCATTAATAGAATTTATCACAATTTAACATTATTAAAATAATATTTATTAGATTTCTTTATTATTTTTTTATATGTTAATTTTATGATATAATTTTTAAGAATTTATATGCTTTAACATTAATCTCATTATAATAAAATTTAATATTATAAATATTACTTCTTAATTTATTTTTAATTTATCCAACTAATTAATTTTTATATCAAATCTATTATAGAATTATAATTTATTAGATATTGGATTTTTCATCTTTAACTCTTATTATGCATATATCAAATCTATTAAAAAACACATGAGAGATATTGTTTCTTTCATGATATATATCATGTTATATACAAATCAAATAAATAAATAATGTTTATCTACTTAAAAAAAAAATAAATAAATAATAATAACAAAAATAGAATACAAAAGTTTTATATATAAAGTATAGTGCAAAAAAAATAGTTATTTTTTTTATAATTATATTTTAATTTTTTTTTTTTTTTTTTAAGGTGTAAATGCGGTATCCGAAAGATTTTTATTGATAAGTGCCTTATACCAATTACATTTGCAGCATATAGGACTCATATAAGCCAGTACATTATATACTCTATATAGATTATCCCCCACATATCACCTTACATCCAGCATCCAGGAACCTATCACCTTGAATGATTTCCTTTGTAATACTAGGCAGGAACCTATAGGGTATAGAAATCCTACCACTAGTTTAAACTATCTAACCTATTGGTTCAGCTTTGTCTAGAGGTGACTTGATTAAGAGGGTTAGTCCAAGTGCCTTCTCACTTTATCACCAGACCTCAGATTATATTTCCATCAGCCTGAGGCTTCTTTGTGAAACTGTAATCCTTCTCACCATCTGTGGCTGGTTATTTTTCAAACCAATTAGGCTCTGCACTGGATTGGGATATCCTGGCTAGGGTTCTAACCATCATTGAAAGAAGCAGATCAGGGTTTGGTTAGGATGAATACAGCCCAGTCTGTATACTCAAACACAAGGGGAGTCTTGATTAAGGAAGTTGAACATATGCCTCTTGGCTTACTATGTTGCTCAACTACCATTGGCATGCTTCTGGCAATCATTGTAGCACCATTTGGATGATTGTCACATCTCGACATTTTTTCTGGAGATCACAATCCCAACGTCCCACTGAATCAACGTACGAATGACTTTTTATGGGAAACAGAGCTTAACAGGTTATGACCCCAGATACTATTCTTAATTTGGTTTAACCATCTTCACCTGGAGTTGAACTGGTATCTTGTGATCTGACCTGTGGAGTGTTAACTATTACACTATGAACTCATAGGTCTATAATTATATTTTAATTAATAATTCCATAAATAATTTTTTTTATAATTTAATATTTATTTAATTTTGAAGATACAATAAAAAAAACCAATTAAATAATTTTAAATAATAATAATAATTTTTTAATATATTTTGTTTTAAAGTTAAAAATATTCATAAAAAAATTGATTCAAAAATAAGATTATAAAAATTTTTTTAAAAAAATTATAACTTTTTATTTAATTAATGAATTTATTAAAAAAATAATATATATAATAAATTTTTTTATTATAAAAATTAAATTATTTTAAAAAATATTAATATATTGATTAAAACAGTATTAAGCAAAGTTGTTTATAAGGTATTTAATTATATATTTATAAATTTTCATAAATTCTCAACAATTATTTATTAAGTTACAACTAAAAATATAATTGTCATTTTTTTTGCACCATATTGTATATATAAATTATATTATATATTAAACAAACATACTTATTTATTAATATAAGTATAATTTTTTTCTTTTATTTAATGAAAGTTAAATACATTTATATATGTTTTTATTATCCTTTTTATTTTAATTATTCCAATTATTCTCTTTATTTTACTTAATTTTATCATAGTATTCAATATAGCATTATGTGAAAAATAATTTCTTTTTTTTCTATAACAATATAATTGAGTTAGAATATAATTATTTTAAAAATTTTAAAATTGAATCAACATAAAAGAATTATACATGTATATTACACATTAATTGTTTTTTGTAAAGATTTAACAAATATAGTATACTTGCTAGACTGCAGAAAAATACTGTAAATAATAAATAAAACTTCATAATATTTTATTTGATTAATAAAATATATATCGTATATGATTAATTACTTAAAATAAAATAATAATAATAATAAAGTTTTATTAAGAAATTATTTTATTAAATTTTTTAATTTTTAATTTTTAATTATATACTGTATATTATATCTTAAATAAAAAATAGTACCCTTGAATATTCGTACATACAATGTTTAATTCTAAAGGAACTAAGTTACTTCTCTCCATGGCAGAATTAAAAAATCATTCTCGTTTCATAAGAATAATAGCACTTGCTGGCAATATGATAAATACGCTTCAACTATTCTGCTAGCAGTTTTGAGATCTCACTACTCGAGCTTGTCATCCGTCATTTAGTCCGCATCTCCAGCTTAATAATGGAATCGATGAAGTCATTGGCTCCAATTGATACAAGAATCCGAAACAATAAACTTGTAGAACTCCAGACTTAACAACGGTTTTGTATCATCCTTTTGCAATTGAATAATTTGCGTTAAAAACTATTTATGCGGATTTTTTTTAAATGTTTTACCTCACTGATCACCTTATTTCATGATTTGATGTGTCTAATGATCATTTTTAAGAAAAACTATCTTCCTATTAACAAAAGAAGTAAATAATTCGTGCATAGGAAAAACTAACGTCTCGGGCTTGATTTTGTATTAATTGATACTATTGCGAATTTCTATACCGTAATTATAAAAGTATCGGGATACATCTTAAACCGTATTATCAGAAAAATTAATTTACGTTTTTTACTATCCTTTCAACCTCCGTTCCACTAAATATTCTTTGTTTTTTCTCCTTATCCCAGTGTTCTTCTTCTGCAACGTCTTTGATAACCAACACGAAATTCTTAAATTCACCCTCCAGATCTTCTAATTTCTGTTTGTCATATTCGTTTACACCGACAGCTATCGACGTTAGCACCTTTACTAATCTCCATAATCTGAGCGCAATCAATAATCCCGCTACCTCCCTTACCTTTCCTTCTAAAAACACATCAAAAAAAAATGTAGCAATCACAATAATTGCATCAAATAAGTGAAATGCCCATCCGGGCCCAGTGAAGAAATATTTTATGCCAAAGCATAATAGATCCAACAAAATCTCGATAAGGAAGAGTGTGTTTATGACAAAGGCAAGATCGGAGAGAATAACCACAATGTAATGTTCTTCGTGCGTAAAATTGATAGGGTCAAAAAAGATCAATATGAGGATCGCAAGGACACAGGAAAAATCCACAATGAGAAGAAGAAGGACTGAAATATGGAATTGTCGAGAAGCCAGGATTTTCCCTAGGCGTTCCTGGATTGAATGTAAACCCGAAAAACCCATTTGATGAATGAATTGATGTAAGCCATCAGAACATCCAAATTAATAAGATGAGCCACACAATTGACATCAGCCAACTTTTATAAATATCCGAGACTTCAGTATGCAAATAAATAAATATATATATATAATTAGTATAAGTGATAGCTCAAAATTTTCACATTACATTAATTTTCACATTACATTTATTTTCACATAATTCATTTAATGGGACTATTGTTAAATGTTTTTTAATAAAAAAAACTTAATTCAATTAATATGAATATACTGTAACTAAATAATATAAAGTAAATCTATTTAGTTATTATATAATAAATAATTAATATTTTATATTACATCATTAATTAATTTATATGCAATTATATATAATAAAAATCAAACAATTCTTTATTATTCAAGATTTTTATTAAATAAAAATAAATAGTATATTTATATTCATATATATACAATACAAATAAAAAGAACAATAATTTTTTTTTATAATTAAAATGTTACAGTATATTAATAAAATTAAATAAATAAATTTATACTATTATAAAAATAATACATAATGATTCTATATTTATAAAATTTTTTAAATTTTTTATTTTTTTGATTTGATTTTGTTACATGTTTTCTTATTACTATAAAAATTTTTTGGATTATTAATACAACTTTCAATTATTTATTATATGTTATTTAATAATTTAAAATTTTTGAATTTAATTTTATCACATATATAATTATAAATTTATTCAAAAGATATAATTGTCTTCAAAGTTTTAAATACATTTTTTTTACAGTTAATATATTAAATTTTAAGCTATTGAACATCTGTAAAGGTTATTAAAAATAAATATAATCTAATATTATATAAATAAATATTTATATTTTAAAGATTTAAACTATTAATTATTTAATTAAAAATATTTAATTATATGAATAATTATTTTTGAAAATAATAAAAATAATAAATGTTCGACAACCACCATGTCCAAATTCTTAAACCATATGAGAGCATTAAGTATCTTGGAATATTTTTTTTTTTCAATGACTGGCGTACACCTTGTTTTATTAGCAGAATTTATGGTACATGTATATTCCCTTTATGGGAACTGACTACTACCTATCTATATTTAATGAAACTACCTAGAGAAAGTTCTTATGACTTACTCACCAGTCGGCTTATTGCCCTCCATTCTTCCTATATTATCAACATTAGAGTCCTAATAGCATAGATAGAGTGCTAATGTGCCAGGATGTTCACCTTCCAGTCCCTCCCATCATCCGATGAATAAAAACTCAAAGAACCATATTCTAATACGATCAGTCGCGGACTAGCCATATCCAACAAGGAGTCTTTGTGGCTCTGACTTGGTCATTTTGAAAAATGTGTTGTTTTTTTTATAGTCTCATGGACTAAAGGGGTGAGGAAGCATGCTTCATGTATGAGAAACGGAGGAAAGCACCAAACTTGACAATAATCATCATAACACTACCGGACGATCATTACGTCACTACGCCTTTCTTAATATCACAATTCTAACACCCGTTGAATTAACGTGTGAACTGGCTTCTTATAGAAAACAGCGTATATTAGGTTATTGATGCCAGATATCATTTTGAGATGGTCCAATTGCCTTCACCAGGAACTGAACTTGGTATCTTGTGATAGCGATCAGAAGATGCCAATCCATTTCTTCCAGTTTAAGGTTTTTACGTTAGTCCTCTAGAGGATTTGAACCATTATCTTGTGATCTGACCTGCGGAGCACTAACCACTGTGCTATAGATCCACAGGTCTAAGTATCTTGGAACATTAATCTCTTCCAGAAATTTTAACAAAATCAACAGAAAAGCATTCTTGCAAACATCATCGCAGATAATTGAAGAGCTCACTAAACACAATTGAAAAGAAGAAATTAAGCAACAAATCAACAATTAGATTATCATGTGGAAATTCGAATATTTTCTACTCTCCTTATTCCTCAACAAAACGACTCTTAACTTACTCCAAACCAAAATCAACAAACTGATAAAGTCGGTATACAAGATTTCATCAAAATGCTCCAACGCAATTCTAGTCAGCTGCAGTGGCCTCAACTTAACAGTATTAGAAAAGAGACAAAGAATTGCTCTAATAAAAAACCTCATCTCCAAACTTTCCATCCCTCTATCAGGAAGTATATAATACAAGACATCCAGTTCATCCAAACAAAAGAAGCTATTTGGTTCTGTCCCTTTTGCAATCCAAAAAAATTAAATCAGAAAAACTGGATCCTTTATGCTGCAAAATCAGCCAAGAACCTTAAAATCCAAATTTGTCCAGCAGAATATCCATATTATCTTAACAATGCGAAAAACTCGATTGGATTTTTATTCACTAATATGCAGTTACAACTTAGAAAAACAGCAATTAGTACAACTAATGCCCTTAACATAAAGTTTATTAATTAACTGCTGAAGTACAATAACACTACCAAACTTTTTTGGTCATAGCTCACTACACACACAGGAATAATTCGCTTGGGTCTAGAGCCTAATTGATTCAAAATATTTACAAATACTAAGAACTTGCCTGGAACCCATGGTTCAATACCAAATCCTAAAACAACATTCTGGTTTCTATATAACATTAATGCAATTGTTAAGACTCACAAAAGATATATCCTTATAGATGAAAGAACACCACTCAAAGGAAAGTATTTTATTATAGATCTTGACAATAATTTTACTAGATGTTTGGACTGTCCAATCAGTACACCCTCCTATAGTTTTTGCTGGATACCATTTACAAGTACGTCTGCTTCTACACTATGAATCTCATTCAGTTCTCTTAATAGATTCAAATACCATCTGCTCAACATAATAGATGAAATTGTCAACTTCCCATCAAACAATGAACACATTCTCCAAGAAGTTAATATATCTGCTAGTCATCTTCTTCAATCATTATTACAAGACCTCGGCCTGCAATACATTACTATATTCAATCCCACAAGAACAGTATATTTATAAATGAGACTGAAGTAAAACCACTCAACTTTTACCTATTACCAGGCAATATTTTATTGGCAATCTTTGATATCATACAGAAAATCCCAACTTACTCTACCATCGAAATTAGAAACAACAAAAAAATCCTTCAACCGGTACCTGAATACTCAAAAAGGATGGTTAAAATTAACTTTTCCTCATTGTCTCAGAGAATAAATCAGTACATACAACAAAAGTTTATAGAGATCATATATACCAAACCAAAATCCAGACCAAGATCAACCAGAACCATTCAGTGGAACAACCCTTCATTACATTTTCCAGAAAACCCCCTAATTAACAATACTTGCTTGGGTAGTAGCATCAGATAGTACAAGAAAATATTTAGTATTACCAGAGACTACATAGTATGTGAAAGCTTCTCAGTTGTCCAAACATTTGGACAAACACATACCCCACATGGTTTAAAAATTATTAACCAGTCCAACAAAAATATTAGAAAACTCTGTAATAACAAATACAGTATCTTAATAACCTTCAAAATTAAACTGCTCTCAAGAACTCTTTCAACTCATTTTACACTTCACCAGTTATATCTTAACCAATACTCAAATACTTTCTGTCCACAATATGAACTCCATATGGAAGACATTCAATATGTTTTCAAATGTGTGGAAGTAGTACAAGCAGCTAAGCAAATTATTAAAACTATTAATCAAACTCTCCATTCAGACGATAATTATAAACCAATCTCACATATATGGCAAGTCATTGAGTTGTCTTGTGAAGTTACAGACAAAATATTTTTAACCACAGACTCTACAAACTGGATCAAGGCAGTAACAAAATCTTTATCCTTATTGTATAATCTAATTTGGAAACCACGTTGCTCTATAGTCAATACTTCACCTCTCACTGGAATCAAGTGGGACCATACCAAGATATATAACTCAACCAATTTCACTAATTCAGAAGCTAAAAACATCTTACAGGCCAAAGATATCTCCAATAATCCACAAGACAATATTATTATTGATCTACCTTCTACTGTGGCTAACTTATTTATCCAATCTAAATATAATTATTCCAAATGTATTTATAGTCTAACAACTCTATCTACCAATTTTAATTCTACTACTATTTCTTCTAATGCTGAGTAGGTATTCATAGCTGCTTGGTGCCATCTGGCAAAATATATTGTTT